TGAGTAGAGAGACGCACAGATGCAGGTAATTCACACACACAACTGTCATCTCTCTCTCTCGATCGATAATTCATTCAAATAAATGCTATAATTCATTCAAATTTAAATGTGGTCTTACCGCACTATTTCATCTCTTTATCTGATTTCAAGCCGGCAGAAAGCTAGAGCTAACGAGCCGTAACTGACAAAAATAACCATAATTTTAACCTTCCGGTTAAATATTGCGCTGCTAACATCATAAATTGATTTTGTTATTCTACCAAATAGTATAATAAAAGATCAATACTTGGCATCCGTGTATCGATACCGTATTTCCGCGGAAAATATCGCGATACTATGCTGTATCGATTTTCCCCCACCCCTAATGCACATATACAAAAGTTGTGACGTTTGTGTCTGATACTGTAAGGATAAATGCACTTAATCTTTTCAGTTATTTAAATGCATGTTTTCTTTTTAGAATTAACAGTATGAACAATTACACTATTTATACTACAAAAATAATGCATAAATAGTGCATTTATGCACTGAATAGTGCATAAATATGCAAATTGGGATGCACCTAAAGGCTATATCAAAAAGGCGACAAACCTAAAGCATTTTCTTTTGTGTTTTACAGAAGAAAGTCAGTCATACAGGTTTGGAATGACTTGAGGGTGAGTAAATGATGACATATAATTTATCCCTCGGAATAAGTTTGGAATGGCACGATTTTTACATATAGTACATTCTCAAGCTCTGCTACCTGGTATTTTGGTGCGTTGTTGCACTGGGGGAAGTTGCCGTTGACCTCGCCGTTGTGAAGCAGGTTATTGTCTACTAGATTCCATCCCCAGCTCTGGTCATCGCTGCCTAGAAGCGCCACATAGCCCTGGCACTGCATGTGAGCCCTCTTGGTCGCGATGCCGATCACCGCCACCGTGCCAAGAGGACCTTCCCACCAGATCTCCCAGGCATGCCGGCCCTCCGAGAAGCCGATCTTCCCACGGGCACCATCGGTGCTTTGGGCAATGGGGTTGCGGTGCAGGGTGAACCCGTTTTTCTTGATATATACATTCCTGGAGCAGTCATGGGAGCTCAGAGCGTGCTGGAAAGACTTTAGCTGAGGACAGAAGAAAATGAAAGTTACCCCAAACTTACGTCTAATAAAATTTTATCTAGAATGAGATGGTAATATTATGATTTCACACTCTCTCGATATATATATATTGGGGTTTAATGATACACTCAGCTCACGGTTGAATATGACATGCAATAATGGGTTTAGGATGATAGTATCACAATATTTTAATCAACATTAAAAATGTCAACTTAAATTAAAATAACAGTTTTTTTCCCAATACATTAACAATTTTCAATAACTTTCTTTGATGTACATACAAAACACACACATATGTGACCCTGGAGCACAAAACCAGTCATAAGTAGCACGGGTATATTTGTAGCAATAGCCAAAAATACATTGTATGGGTCAAAATTATCGATTTATCCCATATCAGTATCTATTCTAGTGTTACGAACAGGGTAAAACAACTTAAACATAGGTAAATAAATTATTAAACATATTTAGCAGTACCATGATACATGTTCAAAACACCATGGTGATGCCATGGTAAATGTCCAAGAAAACACTGTAGTACCGTGATACTTTTTGTAAGTGTGATGATAAATCTTTCATTTTTATATGACCAGTCAATACAGGACTTTAATAATTCAGTAATTTGTATGGAAATTACCAATTTTCTGTAGCTTTGTGTCCATAAATTGCAGGCAAGCAGTATTTGGGTCCAGTATTTACAAATGACGTCATACATTGGGAGCCCATTAGCACTGTTCTGACGGCCACCTACTAACATAACTGTATTCAAAAATACGATTTAATAATGAAATGCGTTGTGTTTATTACTCGAAACACAAAAGCAAATAATACCATAGTTCAAAATATAGCCTATTTAATTTTAAAGAATAACATTTTAAAATTCACGTTGACACGATGCATGATTGTAAGTACTGCATGCATTGTCGATTATATTAGTTAAATGAATAACATATAAACATGAACAATTTTTAATAATCTTACTTTTGTTTTATATGAAGACAGGTTGCAGAGGATATCAGAGCGCAGCGCTTCTTCACTGAGCAAGCGGGCACACAGACTCCGCCACACCTCGCTGTTTTCATCCGCCAGACAGTTGTACCAGTGCCAGCAAACGTGCGAGCAGTTCATGAGATCCGCCAGCTCCAGATAGGAGAATATATGCTCGAGAACTCGGCTGGGTAACCGGCCTGCGATGCCCGACCCTCCGCCTAATAATGCGGCAGAACCGGCGCCCGACAAGGAGGAGCAGCAGCCCGCGGCGGCAGCGCCCAGCCCCGCAGACTGCACCCCTCCACCGGCCACTGCGCCAGACATGTCAAACTCCTCCGCTGAACGCAACCGTTCTTACAACCGCACAGCCGGATCGCACAGCGGGTCAGAACCCCACCGCGGTCCCGTGAAGCGCGTTCGTCTGACACATCTCCCGGTGTTATTGCCGTTGCGGCCAAATGGATCAAAATCTAAGCTATGTATTGTAAAGGTCCTGGACGGCGTGCGGCTAACAAATCCGAGCTCAGTAATCAGAATGGATTGTACGAAAGTATATCATTCAATTAAGTCGCTTTATAAATTAATTATAATTATCCACATAACACGTTAGGCAAACGTGTTACTCTTTCTGTTTCTGTTTCACATTAATGATGATTCGTGAATGAATCGTTCTTGTGAGTCGGATTTTTTCAGTGAATTGATTGAACGGGTCTACAAAACTGGTCTGAATGATTCATCGGTGCGAGCGCTTCTCGAGTCTCAACTGACTCGTTGAATTGACTCTTTTGAACATGTTCGACTCGTGGCGTTACAGGTTAATATGGACCGATGAGTGAAACATTTGGAGTGAACAGAGGATTTGACCAATAGATCGAAAGGTAAGTTAGTTAGCCAAAAAAAAAAAATGTTAGCAGAAATATTTCATATGAAATGTTATGTAAAAAAAATGATTGTATGACTATAACGTTATATTCAAATTATATTTAAGTTTTAAATTATTTGTACTAAGAGTTGAATTTTTTAACTGTTCGTTGAAACGAGTTGTTAAAAAAAAAACAATTCGCGGAAATGAATCTGCCATTCCTAATTTGTATTATACACTTCTTTAAGGACCTCGCAGTTGACTAGATTACGTATGCAATACGACGTTACAGGAAACACCACTAGAGAGCGCCGTTTAATCTGTTATAGTATAGCCTAATAGCCTAAGTATATAAAATAAACAATTATACCATTTTCAAAATAATTATAATGTAAATTCACATTTCGACACATAATATACATTACAATTATTATTAAATAGCCTATTTAAAATGTGCATTATATTTGATACTATAGCTTTTGCTGAACATTTAATATTTAAAATGAATAACAGAGTTTAACTCACATAAACCTAATAAGGCTCATTAGTTTATTAGAAAAAAAGAAACAATATCACATTCATGGTTTATGTAATACATGCCTTCAGTCTGTTTCTCAGAAAAACAGCAGCTGGGATTTGTAATTATTTTACTTCCTAAATGGCCCATTATTAATTATTAGCTATTATTAAACCTTCAGGGTTATTTAGTGGCTTGAAATGGCAAGGACTAATGATGTACTTTATTCTTAACACTTAAAAAAAAAAAGATACGATTTCCTGAAATTCTCTGATGTTGTATAGAATGTGTTTTTTTTTCATCTTGGTTATGCATCTGTCAGTCTGTTTTCTGCATGATTCACTGCTGCTGCTTGAATGCTGTCAGGCCTGATGGATCATTAGCTCTAACAGGGGAAGGTAGTGAATGCATATATTATTTTCCCGGAGGAAGAAGATTATATCAGGCAGTATGGCTCAGTATTGCTGTGCCACATCCTCTGAACTAGCCAACATGTAGTACAATGGGTTTATTTCTGCATAAAAGTTTATATATTGTGAACTTGTAAATTCCATGTTTTCATGTTCTGTGAAACTGTCTGTCGGGCTGGATTGACTGGTTGACTGGATATGATGTATGCTGCTTTATGTAAATCACCACCACTATATGCTTGGGGGAATGACAGTATTAGTGTAACTGTACTGACTATAAATAATGGAGTAAATATGATTATACTTCTGAGTTGTGAGCAGGAAAAACCATTCAAACTTTTCTGTCTCCTGCATTGCTTCTGTTTTTTTTTTTCTCTTTTTTTTCTGGTATTTTAGTGTGGTTAATTATGCAAAATAAACCAATATTTATAATTTATTTATTACTGTTAGCTAAAACTAAAACCATAAAAAACATTTTTATTACTTGAAATAATATAAACATTAACTGAAATAAAATAAAGTATAAAAAAACTTAAAACTTTAGTTAGTTTACTAAAATAACTCAAACTAACTAAATAAAACTGAATAGACATTAAAAATAATAAAAATGACAAAACACAAAAAATATTAAACCTTCAACCACACACACACACACACACACACACACACACAGTTTTAAAGCTTAAACTTTGATTTGTGTCCGCCGTATTCTAATATTTGGTTGCATCTTTGAAGGTAACACGAAAAAAACAGCAACTAGATGGATCAAATCCCTTTCCAAATCAGCTTTCCCTTTTGGCATAATTCAATTTCTAATCTTGGGCACATATTTTAAGTTCCCTAGTGATTCGTGAATATATGAAATGACCTGAATATGAACAGTAAATTCAGGAAAATTCATCTTAAGGCATTATTTAATATATTCTAAAAGAATAGAAGCCGTGTATATTAATATATAGTCCATAGTGCAGGACAGGTACACCTGTTGTTAGTGGGTGGAGACGGAGGCCCCGCCTCTCTTCCCACCGGGGCCAATCGGACGTTAGATAGCCGATAGAGGGCGGGGCGAAGCCAAGTGGAATGTGAAGCGCACAGCATTATTTCGGTTTACTTTATGGGACAGAAACGGTAGAACGATCAGGAGATTAAACGGTATTTCGGATATATTGTGGTTTCCAGTGTACATGCATCTCTGTGCAATGATCGAGATATGCTCCTCAAGTGAGTATGCATGTTTTAATTTCATATTTGAGATATGACTGAATTGCTTAACTGGTGGGATTTTGATTAAATCTACGTTTGTTTGAAGAACTACTTCTGTAGGTGAATTGCTTCACTGCACATTTTAAATAGAAAATGAGGTTTGCGATGTCGCATTAAAGCAACACAGAAAAAGTTCCACAAACGTACAACTTTTGAGTTAGTTTGTGGTTAGTTTTATAAACGTTTCCACCTAACATTTATTACAGGTCTATTTAAGAAATGTTGTGTTGTTTGGGAATGAACTTAATATGAGTCATTTGACATTGGGTTCAGTCTGTGTTAGAATTAACTCGTTTGAGGGGTTTGTTTTACTCTTTTATCATTATTTCACTTAGACTGTGGTATTTAAATTTCAGTGTTTTTTTTTATTTTTAGTTAGGGGCACTTGAGGGGTGGATTTGGTACAAATTGTGGTGATGTGGATTTGTCATTCTGTGTGTTTGATGTTTTGGAGAAGATGCTTCGGACTTGTTAAGAGCAAGTTATCTACCAGTCAATTCATGTTTCTCTAAAAAATATTTTTATTTTTTTTTTATTAAAATTCTTAAATTGCTTTTTGGCAATGACATGAACCAACTTAATATTAATTACATTTCTGATCTTTAAACTGTCATTCTACTCCTCTTTTACTTCTCATTTCCATCATGACCAAACAGAAACCTTTTTAGGAGAAATTCAATTGTTCTCTAAAACAATTGGTGTGAAGGTAATTACAGCAGGATTAAACTGTTCAACACCAGTTATGCAAAATTGCAAGGCAGAATTTCCGTGTTTTTCCATAATTTTTCATTGGGCAAATGCCACAGTTACTATGTTTCTGTGAAGTTCTAACTTTATTTTCATTATATAATTAGGAATGTTTTTGATATTGGACTTTCTTAATATAGAATGACTTGTTATTGCTCGGCTGATCTTGTGGTTTGGTGGAAAAATAGATGTTTGGAATTCTAACTTGTTCTACAAACCTTGTTTAATCTCTCATTTCTTATGAATAACAACAAGGAACAGCTTTATTTACAATCCACAGTGTGAGTTCTTTCAAAAATGACAAAAATCCTTAAGATAAAGTGAGATACTTCATCTTTAATCTGAGGTTAGTAGCTTGGCTTTCCTGAAAACGTTTTATCTTGAGCAAAGTAAAGACACTAGGATTGTGTTTACCTGCATTTTTAAGTTATAAAAAGAGCACTTGATATGAAGAACGCAAGTCTTATATGTGAAACAATACAGTCTGATGGAGACATGATAGGGTTAGAGGTTTAAAGTGAAATGAAGACTTTTCCCAAGCTTTTCCTAAGCCTCAGGTCACAGTCAAATTATGCCTTTGAATTCCTGGTTTGCTTGTAACTAATATCCCCATCTCAAAGTATATCCATATCCCTTTAAGTCTGTTTGAAGGTTTCTTTATTTGAGATGTAAATCACTGTTGAGGCTCAGTGAAGGCTAAACCAATTTGGTGTGTAAGACATCCCTATTAGAGCACAGCTTAAATTTCCCCCTGTGTGTATGTGCGGTAAAGTCCAACAAATAGAAGTGTTCTTGTCTTTAAACATTCGAGGTTTAACCATACGTTGACTGCATTGTGCACACAGGACCAACTGTCAGTGGTGAGGAAACTCTTGGAATCTGAGAGTCTCCAGGGAACGTTGCGCTGGGATCCATTCAAACTGGCTGCAGCTGGGATGTTTGCTGCCGGGGTGCTGCAGCAAAGCAGCAGAGGACTGAACCAGCGATCGCTGGGAATGGCACGGCTTCCCAACTCCCACTTTTTCCCCCTCTCTTCGGGCTCAGGGTCGTGGGGTTTGGGCCGATTGGCGAAGAGCGGCTCTCTGAGCTCCGTCAGCTCGGGGTCGGACAGCATGGACATGGCAGGTGCCGATCCCGACTACATCATGCAGCTGGTCAATGATGTGCGGAGGTTTGCAGACGTGCTGCTCCACCTCAAGGAAGCTTTTAACACCAAAGGTAAGAGTGAGACCGCACAGGGTTGGTGAAAAGAGCTTGTTGTTGCTGTCAAGAGTTTCAACCTGTTGTGGGTCAACGTTAGCCTTGGTCTCACGGTCACTAACCTCTCATTATCTTTTTTGGATAATGGCAAGGGAAAGTTTTCCATCGACACTGTGAATTCATTCAACAATGCCAGCAATCTTAAACAAAGATAAAGTCGGAAATTACTTTCTCTTTATTTAGAAAGGTTAGTCGTTTATGATTTGCATTTTATTTGGAGCAGAGAATTCATTTTTGTGTAATATAGTCCAGATGTAAAATATATATAGGCCTATTGTAATTCCTATGTGTGTGTGTATATATATATATATATATAGTTATATAAACATAACATCTTTATAAACATAACATAATAAATAAAATTTTTCTATGTGTGTCTGTATTTAATGGCGTCCCCAAATGGAATTATTAAAAAAATAGTGTCTGTAGACAAACAGATAAGCCCCACCCCCCAAACTCATGCAATTGGTTGAGCCAGTGTTTTATGACCACAAAAATAAAATTTAATTTAAAAATATTTATAATATATACTGTAAACGTTGTGGGGGAATCGATAATGGCTTATTAAAGTATTAAAATGGCTACTTGGCTGTGAAATAAATGTGAAAATCATAACATCTTTGATTGTGGGAGTATTTGATCAAATACTACTCTATTTCATTATTAATGGGCTTTTCCTCTGTACTCTGTAATCTTAAGTGAAGTGTTTTAAAACAGCAAGAAATGCTTTTATAATAGAGGAATGAATGAAGATTAACGGGATGATTGCTCTTGCATGTGCGATTACTGCATTCCCAAGGCAATGCCGTTCAGGTCCGTTTGGATCAGATCCAGTGCGCTAATCCTTGCCTTTGCTTGAGAGTTCCTTAATAAGGGGTGGCTTGTGTGTATGTGGTGGGGGGTGTTTCCAGCCTCCCATTGTGTCTGTGCCATGTTGTCCAGGGTCTGTAGGAATCTCTCCTTTTGTTCGGCGGGGTGATGGAGGGTCCTTGACCCCAGCTGGGTTGGAGAGTTACTCTGAGAGCTGCCAGTGTGTGACCGGTGCTTTTGGCCTCCAGGTCTCTCCTTCCCGCAGCTTTGGACCTTAAACGGTAGGAACACCAGATCTGAGCGGGGGTGTTACTCTCCCAATCATTGAAGACTTACAAACTATGTGTCAGTCTTACATTGTTGTCATAGTTCTGAAAGTGTGACGCTTTACAAATCCGTCCGTGGAATCTTTCCGTAGAGTGACCTTATTAAAGACCAGAAAAAGACCACTGCCAAAACAGTTGCACTTTTAGAGAGGAAAGGTTAACGGTTAAACACGTGTGTTACATTTCTGAAAAGATCCCTTTGTGTGTCTGCCTTGGTGGTACATATCGGTAGGAATCATTTAAATGAGCTTAGTAACACACTAACATATGAGTCGTGGCGCAGCGCTTTTGCTGTAATTGGCTGACATTCAGCTAAATGCAGGAAAGGAGACTAATTGGACAGGAAGCTGAATTTGAGAGAGTGCTGAGAACTCAAGATCCTCCTTTCCATGGGAAAGTTTTAAAGTGCAAACAAACAGTAAATCACTACTTCTACTTTGTAAACTGCAGCAGACGTTTGTGTCGTCATTAAAATGCTGTTGTGAATTTATTAAAACTTTGTAGTATGTATTAACTTTTTTGTCAGCATTTTTCAGTTTTTTGATCAATATATGAGTATTCATAATATACTATAATATAATATAATATAATATAATACATTATAATATAATATAATATGTTTTCAGCCTTTTGATTAAGAA